GTGGAGAACTTGCGATCGCTCCACCTTAAAACATTAGTTATTTAAATCAACTTTTAAGCCGGCAATAGTATCATCGATGGGTGTGAGAAAAATAGCAGAATAGCAGTCGTTCAGCATAAAAAAGTAATCTGCAGTCATCGCAAAATTTTTTCTCACTCTTTTGCTCATTCACTTATAACTCTCTTTCTTTCTCTTCGCCATCTTGCAAATTAGTGACATGACTGTTCAAAACATGACGGGTGGGAGGCTGTACTGACGCTTCCCGTGTCTACCCGCATGCATAGTTCGGTCTGTGTATACAGCTAAGGGATGAAACACAGACTTACGAAATAGTAAAATGTCCTTCGGCACATGACACTTAAGACCAGACCTTCCATCCTACTATTTCAAATTATAACATTAAGAAAAATGTTAAAATTTCGAACCGTACTACAAGTTGTGCTGTCAAATCTAGTGACAAATAACACCAATTCCCAAGCTAAATAACGAGTGATCCAATTTGTTTGCAATTCGTGGCAAAGTAGTAATGGCATGGGTCATGAAGTCGAAGTCGCCTTCAGCTTTCTTCTAGAACTAGACGTATGCAGAAGATCTGAACAATAAGTGATTCGAACCATTCTTTAATACCTCATCTTCTCACAAAGACTTAAAAATGTTGGAAGTTTTGGTTGTTAAGCGTGGCGCTGCTCTTAAAAAACGAATGTAATCAAAAGGCTAACACCCATTGTATTAGTTCCATTAATGTATTCCAATCAGCCGTATCCAAATACAGTTGAAGAACTGATTCAAATATCTGCCTCGAAATATTTTGCAGGCCTTTTGTCCGGAGAAGTTCATGGACTTCATCTACGTTCTGTAAAAATTACAAAAAATTTGTTTTCTGCAAAAAAAAAAAAAAATTAAAAACCAGCAAAAATCAAATCAAAATAACTGCTGGAATAGCAGCCTAAAACAGTTTATAACAGTTCCGCCCGGTTCTTAAACGCTTCGAGGGTTTCTTGTGTTTGTCTTCGAACTACTATGCTTATAACATATCACTCACAAGTACAAGGGTCTATTGTTGGGGGATTTCAGTTCTGGCCTAAAATCTCTCGTCAACGGAATTACTTTATACGCCCGAAAATTTCAAGGCGCAGTGATTTAACTTAATTATTAGCCTTACGTTTGTCTAAAAATAACATTAGTAAGATACGTCTTTGAAGAAACAATTAATGGCAGCACATTCCAAACTGTTCAGTTCGAAAAAAATTCTAAATTTATACAAGAAGTTATATTTATACAAGAACTTTGAAAAATTCATAAATTAATTGGAAATCAGAATTCCTCCACGTTTCACTCCCCCTCAAAAAAAAACGAATTCGAAACTAATTCAAGAAGTCTCATACGACAACGATAAGCATCCACTGATAAGGCTATTGACGGCACGCTCTTCGAGGAGGGGATGTTTCAGAAGCCGGCTCGACTTCTTTTCACCATAAATGTACTAGTATAGACAAATTCAACATCAGAACAAACCAGAGAGGCGATGATGTGCCAGCCAGAGAGGTGAAGATGGTTTTCTCGTTAGTAAACTTGGAATAATGGCTCAGGCGTGAGAAGAGGAAATAATGGCAGAAAAGGAGACAGAGGTATGTGCATTTTTGTAGCAAATGTGCTAGTTTCGGACATCAACATCAACGAAATTAAATTTTTTGAATAATGCCCTACAAGGGATCAAGTAAAAGATGAAAAAGCGGAATAGACTGTCACTATCTACGGCATCTTTGCTCAAAAATGTCAAATGTCAGCTCTTCTACGGATGAGTGGATTTTTTCTTCGCTAACAGCAAGTAAAGCTAATCAAATGTAAGTCTGATTTCCTTAAGAAGAAAACCTCAAAAATTAGGCGAAATGATAAAATACTTTAGCTGAGACGTGTTTGGTGAGGAGATCCAGAAATAGCGCATCATTCACTGGTTCTGACTGGTTTTTGCTAGCGGTCCGTTTTTTCAACCGTCTAAAACACAAAATATTGTTAATGAATGGCGAAAACAAAGGCAAAGGTACATTGCAACTAGCCGTGGATATAACAATAATGGTAAAGTACCCGTTCAAATGGCTCTCCCTAGCAGTAACAGAATCCATAAGTTTGTGAGCAATGTCTTCGGGAACATTATGATCGAGGAGCCGATCAATAACACGAGAAAGCTGCTCGGTATCTGCTTTTGATAAATCTGTTGTGCTACCACCATCAATTTCTGAAGAAATGAGAAAAATGAGGCACTGCATGCGCATAACATGTTCAAAAATCCGAAATTTGTCTTCAGTTTCTGACTCTTGAACGTTTCTAAACGGTAAACGCACCAAACAAAGGCTGTAGCAACAGAGACCTGACAATACCATAGTTCAGATAATGCACATCTTTGTAGCCAGCCTCCAGAAACTTCGTTAAAACGCTGAGCCTTTCGTGGACATCTGACTCCCTATAACATTCTTATGGAAAAGTCTTGATATGAGATTTTTTGCTGTTGACTGAATTAGATTTAATAAAAAAAGAGAAAGGCATGGCGTGATAAATTATCCTGACAATTTGAACGTCTTCATATTTTAAATGAAAGCTGCAACGGGTGTGTAATGGGTAAAAGACGAAAAAGACATTAAGTTGAGAGCGAAAGAAATGAGAAAACTGCATGAAAGCTGTGATGTCACTGATTATTGAGTTCTGAAGCCCAAGAAACTTTCCGGAGTTGTTGTAAAAGTGAGAGAGAGAGGGGAAAATGCTTTGGCATAATTTGCATAACGCATAAGAAAATGGTAAGAACAAACATAAGCAAAAAAAATGCAAGAGCTGTGAAACATACCGTACTAGCAATGGCAAAATGGTATGGATTTTTGTGCGCATCGGATCTAACACCTCCAAAAGTTCCAGCGTAACCAGCAATCTTTTTTCAGTTGAGCAAAATCGATAAGTCAGAATGCAAAATAAAATACGCTCCAGCAAAAAATTCCTAAAATTTTCAAATGCAACAATTGCATTAACAGTTTAACCACGGTGTAGCTGGTAGAATGAGGGCTCTGATGACGTTTACGATTTTATATGTAAGAAAACTGAAAGCTTTGCAATCAAAAATGTCAATTTTCAATTTCTGGAAAAAATTTTTTTGTTTGATTTTGGACATGATATTTTCTGGATATGGAACCAACAACCCCTGGTAAGATTTTACATCAACTTT